TGAGGGTTCAACTGCAGTGCACTCCTAGTGAAAATTTAGTGGTTATGGGTTGATTTATTTTGTTTAATCTAAAATTCATCAATTTATTTTGGGCTTTTTCATCTGTTCCTGAAAATCATTTTAAGTTGATTTTAAAACATGAGGGAAGTCCAAATTTTCTTTTGAAAATACTGAATGTTCTGTCATTTTTAAAATGAGAGTTTTCTTTGGATGTTCAGATATCCAAACATTTGACTTCAGCCTTATTTTCCCAATTTTTTCTTCTTTAAAATTGTTTAAATTTATCAGCATTTGGGAATAGTTCCATGCCTTTTGAAAAGCTTTTTACCCTTCCTGAATTTATTCATAATAAACCATCATTTTTCTCATTCCTACAGCTAACAAAAGATTGCTCAGAGCAACATGAGAAATAACTGCCTATTATTTAACAGGAAATTTCTATGGAAACATTATGTACCTCTTCCTCAGACAGCAGTCTAGATAGGGATTTTTAAATTGTTGTTCCTATCAAAGCTTCTCTTTCTTTTTCTTTTTATCCCTGCCATAAAGCATTTTGCAGTCAAATGCAACATGTGACTATGTAATACCATCAGCACGGTGATCTTTTTAATTGCACGTTGTCCTCCCTGAGTTTGCATCTCCAGCCAGGTTGGTTCCACCTCAGATGTGGTAAGCCTGCCTCCTGAGCCATCATTCAACTCTTGGGAGCTGCTGAATAGGACCAGTCCAGGACACAACCCTACAGATGCCTTTTGGATAGACCTAGTATCCTACTGAACCAGTAGTAATTAACTTTTGAATCGAGTTTTCCACCCTGATTTGTGCTGTCTTACAAAACAGTGCTACTTACAGGGCATCTCCTTGGGCAGATTATGAGAATATGGAGTAAGACAGTGTCAAAAGCTCAACTTTTTCTCTTTTCCCTTTGCCTTCAAGGACCAGTGATGGTCTTGGCATGGAATGTTCTCAGCAGGTTTGTGCTGGCTGTTACCCATCTGAATGCTCTGTTCTGGGGCTCATGAACATTTAGTTAGTCCAGTGTGTCCTGAGGAACTTGAAGTTGAGGGGCTGGTGTAGAAATCTTTGTCTCCTGCTAAAGGGGGCATTGCATTTGCACGTTTCCAGTGTTTTAAAATCACTTTTACATGCTCCTCACGAGCTTTCAGCTTATTGCTAGCAGCTCTGATACTGTCAGCCAATTCATCCAACGTGCTTTAGGGTGAATTTAACCATCCTAGTGAAAACATTTCATTTAGATTAAGTATCTCTAACCTGTTGTCTTCCTAGTCCGATCTGGGTTCTTCCCATTGCAGTCATGAGAAAGTAGAAGAAAAGGTGCAAACAGGTTTCTTGTCATCACAGAGAAATATTAAATGTTGTTTGCTTGTGCATTGGGCAAGCTTTTCCATTGGTCTTCCTCTTACTCCTCATGTCATTATAGGGAAGTCTTTCTTGTTAGCCCTTTTGTTTGTCCTTTGCTAGTTGTATCTTGATTTTTATTTTTTTTCCCTTGACCTTTCTGATTGTGACCCTGTGTTCTTGTGCTCTTCCTTTTATTTTCAGCTGGAGGATTGCACAGTTGCAGAAGAGCCTGTGATTCTGCCAGATTGGTTTCTTCTTACTCTTCATATCTTTGATTGTTACTGCCCTTTATGATTGTTATTTGCCGTGTTATTCCTTTGCCCTTGAACTCTGCTCCTCTGGGATCTTAACCGCTGGTTCTCAGGTTCACTGAAGTCTGCTTTCTTGAGCTTTCTTGGTTTTGTTCCACTCTTTCACTCCCGTCCCTTCCTGGGAGCCATGTGCTCTGTCCTTTCGTGATTACTGCCACCAGCGTTTCTTCACAGAATCACAGAATCATTAAGGTTGGAAAAGACCTTTAAGATCATGAAGTCCAACCATCAACCCAACACCACCATGCCCACATGACCTGAAGTGCCACGTCCACACGTTTTTTGAACACCTCCAGGGATGGTGACTCCACCACCTCCCTTCATGTTGCCCACCAGGTGCCAACATCAATCAGTTGATCACTGGAGTAAATGATACTTTATACTCGTGCTGCATTTTTCCCTCAAAGTTTCTTGAAAGACTTCGTAATATTAAGCATTGCTCACAGAAGAGAGCAGCCATTTTAAAAGAGGATATAAAGCAAAAGCTGATTTTATTAAAATAATACATGAGTGGTTGGGGAGGGGGTGCACTGACCCACTGACGCATACACCTTCTTCACGGAGGTCTGGTTGACTGCCAGGGACACTTTGGTAATGCTGGCAAGTAATACTGGTAGATCAAAGGTCTGATGAGAATCTAAATAAGGGCTTGAGGCAGCCTGTTAGCCAGGGGAGAGCGGGAGCGAGCTGGCAGCTCCCCATCGTGTTCCATCCAGCCTTGCATCGCTCCATGGCGGTGGGGTGCTGTGGCAGTGATGGTTTGTCTCTGAAGTATCAAACCTGTTTCACGCCTGGAATGTCTAATACAATAAGGGTTTTCTGGTGTGTGTGGTTTCGAGTGAGACTATTTTTTTTGCTTGTGTTATTTTGGGAAGGGAAGGAATACTGTGCACAATTACCTGCTCAAGGCTTGAGTAGCTGGTGAGGCGGATGATGCGGAGGGTCACAGAGCCTGCAGGGGATGAGAAGGTGACAGTGGAATTCTGTCTGTGCCAGGGGCTGTGAAACAACCTCATCAGCCACAAACACTACTTTTTCCTTCTATTAGAAGAAAAACTGCTTTTTGCCAAATAAGCTGCTTGGTAGACATGACCTGGTATGTTTATTAAACAGTCAGAATGTGTTAAAAATTCAAGGACTGTTAGACACTAATAATTAATAGCTGTCCAGCATGCATCAAGAGCCTATTGGTTTTCTGCCAACTTGCCCTATTAAATATACAAGGTACAAGTTATGTAGTTAACCATGTAAGAGTTTTATAAATGCCTTTTATAGTTTGCATTCAGAAAACTTTCCATGTTGGCAGACAGGAATAAAAAAAAAGGAAATTCAAAAAGCAAAGCTGTTTTAGCTTAAAGGATCTTTGAGATGGTAAAGTAATTTGACAGCAGTGTTTAAATCTTTGCTCTTGAAGTGGATGAAGAAATGTTTGGGCCAAAGGGTTGCTTTTATTGATGCTGGGTCTGGAATTTGTGTGTTTTAGCACTGTTGAAGTATGGAGCTGCAGGTCTTTCTCACTTGGAGAAGTCAGTGGGAGTCCTTTGATTGTCTTCAGTAAGCACTGGGCTATCTGCTTCATTCTGAGAAAGTGCTTCCCTCTGTCTTTTCTCCTCCAGTTAAGTGCTGGGCATCCGTGTCCTAATGCCTGTGTAGCTGGAAGGCTGAATACGGCAGGTTACCGCACAGTCGCCTCTGTGGCTGCCTTCCAGGGACCATGGAGAGTTGTAGAGGAACCGGAGATCAGCCAGTTAGAAAACAGAGTTTCAGGAGTATATATTGTTTGGTCTTGTTTTCCTGTCCAGAGCTATGTTAATCCAGTAGTGCTATTTGGAAAGACGCTGAAAAATACGCTACTCTTCTATTAATAAATTATTTTATGAGCTGCAGTAGAATTGGTGGGGGAAAAGTGGAGGAACTTTTGTAGCGTACTTTGGAAAAAAGCAGAAGATGGAGAGAGAACAAGTAGGTAAAAGCACAGGAATTTTTTGATTTTCTAAGTATGATACTTAAAGGCTCAATTATCCCTGTTCGATACCAGCCTAAGTGCAGCAAAGTTAGTGGGAAATCCCTCTCACCAGGGAGAGGCCTGGGCGAGGTGCAGGCTTTCTCTCGGTTGTGTTTGTCCAGGTGTGAACATTTGGTGAAACCCTGGCCCAGGTTGCCCAGAGAGGTGGTCGATGCGCCATCCCTGGAAACATCCCAGGTCAGGTTGGACGGGGCTCTGAGCAGCCTGCTGTAGTTGAAGATGTCCCTGCTCAGTGCAGGGGGGTTGGACTAGATGACCTTAAAGGTCCCTTCTAACCCAGACCAGTCTATGATTCTACAATGGGTACCACAACCCAGTTGATTGTAGTATTTTGTTTGCTTGTCAGGATGCATTTTTTTTTCCCACATGATTTCCAATGGCTTTATAACATCATCTCATGCTAATGAACTAGGGAATGGGGAGAAACGCCATGTATCTTCCAGGTGCTTGGGTGGATCTGCCTGGGTAGGCTTTTTCTGTTTTTGAAGAAAACAAAATATGGGTACAACGGTCCTTTCTGGGTAGGCAAGGTTGGCTTCCTAATGCAGTGTTATAAGCTGTCCCTCAGATGGAAGAGAAGTGGGTTTTTTATCCTGTAGTCTGTTTGGCTCAGAGAAATCAACATTTTAGTTTTACTTTGTACATTGGGGTTTCAGTAACGCGGTAGCTAGCAGATCTCAGAAGTGATGAGAAGCCTCTATTGAGTAAATCTGTGAGATTAACCAGATCCACCAGCAATGCATCTTCAGCATACTGGAGGCTTCCCAGTCTCTTCCTTCTTATGTTTCTGAAGTAGTCTGCCCTTGTCAGTCTTATTACTGGCATGTTACACAAGGATTTGGGTTAGAAACAAATCCTGTTCTTCTCAGGGTGGCAGTTGGTACATTCACAGTAGAACTAAAAATGGCTTAGGACCTTCCTTTTTTGAATTGCTTTTCAGCTAGAGGAGGAGGAGGTAGAACCAGTTTTCCTTTCTCTGCAGAGGTCTTTCTGGCTGCAGAGCATCATATTAGCTTCTTAGAAACCTTTCACCTGTGATTCAAAATAGGTACGTTGAGTTTAGTATAAACTGCAATGTCCATGGTTTTTTTTCTGGGGAGAATCCAGAGCCTGGAAGGAGAAGAATGATGACAATGGTGTTCAAAGATCACATCTGAGAGTTGTGTTGGAAGCAGGATATTCCTGAGAAATTTTTGTTGCTTTTAATTTTATTAAATAATGCCAAAGTCCCCAGGGCGACAGATGGGTTCTTCCGTGTACGTTACAAACGACAATGAATAACTAATCTCTCTTTTCTTCAGACATCATACAAATCCAGTGGGCACAGAGTGGCGATGGAAGATGGACCAACCTGAAATGATCTTGCAGGAGGCTATTGAGAACCATCAGAATATGATCAAGCAGTTCAAAGGTAACTTCTCCTGCTTTTTCCCCGTTAATGATGCTTTTGGAAGGTAACCAGGACTAGCATCTTCAAAGCACAGATGAAAATGTTCTGGTCATCTGTGAAATGCTGGGAAGGAGGCATGAGATTTGTAATATCAGAAAGAAGGGTAAGTGACAAGACACTTTTCTGGCACACTTCCTGTTTTCTGAGATGTTCTGCCTTGTTTTTGACATTAGAACATGAGTCAGCCATTGGGTATCTACTGCTGCCTCGAGGGAGTAGAGTGCAGCTGCCTCTTGTGCGTCTTTGTAGTTGTCATATCCTTTTCCTTGGTGTGCACAGAGGCTTCCGCAGTGGCTAACGCTGGCCTGGATGACAGGGGATCTTGGTTCTTATGTAAAAGTGAGGGCGGATAGAAGGCAAAAGGGATCAGCCTCTAACCTCATAGGAAATATACTTCCCAGTGTTAACCCCCCTGGGAGCTTTTGTGTTAGCTCTGAAACTTATAGATTGCATTTTTCTCATTAGTTAATGAACTAATTCATTCATTCAAGGTGTTACTATTTTCAGGAATTACTCAGTACATCTGTTTGTGACTGAAGCTGCAGTTATACAGCACCTCTGAAAAGTACTGTATTTTGCTTCCCATAGGAATTCTTTGTGGGTTTGTTATTAAGTATGTGTGTGTGTGTGTCTGTGTGTATGCAGTTGGGTTTTTTCTTTTTTTCCAAAAAGTGATAAACTTGGTTACTCTGCCAAGGTCAGCTTTGTGTGCTGGGAGGGCTGGCCAGCTTGGCAGGACAGGTCTAGGACTCTGCTCTTGCTAACTGACAGCGGAGGCTGTGCGAGCAGCAGGAGTGGAATGAAGCATCCATAAAATGTGCAAGATGAGCCTTAGTCTTGGCTGTCATTTTAGGAACCTGTTTGTTTATGTTGGCTGCGCACAGAGAGAACCCAATGGATTAAAAACGTGACAGGTAAAAAAGCCCTGCAGTCAGCAGAGCAGAGTCGCTCTGTCTCATTCACTGGAGTTATATAATAGACGGAAAAATAACTCAAGTTAGGGCCTCATGAGCTTCGTTTTCATCAAGTGGCTGGTTTGAATCCTCTTGTGTGCTCAGACCTCCAGCTCCAGGTAAGCCGGTTCCCTGGGAGCTCCTGTGCTGAACTGGATAGGGAGCAGTGGGAAGAACCAGACCTGGCTGCACTCTGCCTGTCGCACACATGCAGTCCAGAGGACTGGAGCACAGCCCTAGACCTCGTCCAGGGGAAAGCAGTGAAGGTGCTGTGGTGGGATAGGGCAAAATGATGATAATTTGTTAGAAGAAGCTTTCCTGGGGGAAGAAGCAGGAAGATGAGTCGTCAGTGGAGGAGGTAGCTGGTGTCAGTGCATCTTCCTTCAGACTAAGCAAAGCCCAGCTGTCAGAGCTCGAGGCAGGGCAGTCTGTAAGGAAGCGCGGGTCTCATTGCCTAGCCTTGGCGTTTCTTTTGCACCGCAGCCACGTGGGCAGCGTGGGGAGAGTGCCAGGCTAAGGCAGGCTGCCTGCAGCAGTGCTGCCCGACTGGCTGGGCCAGAGCTGCTGCAGGGAGTCGTGGCTGCCAGCTAACTCAGCTGGTGGGGTGCAGTGCCAGCACAGCAGGAGCTTGGGTACAGGTGGTTTGCATGAGTGAAGAGCATGTAGGATGTCAGATTTTGTCTGGAAGGCTGTAATGGCTCTATAAGACTGTTACAGCTATCAACAAGAGTATTCGTGTTTAACGCTTAAGGCACTGAGCACTTCTCAAACTCTGCTCTTTTACCCCGTCTGTTCTGGGTAACCAGGCTCCTAGAGGAGTTGAAATGTCATTGGGCATGCTGAAAGGATTGTGATCAGTAGCTCGGTCGGTTTGGTGGCTGCTAACAAGCAGTGTACTTCAGGGGTTGATCCAGGAACCTATGTTGTACAACATCTCCATCAACAGATGATGGGGATGATGATACTGAATACACCCTCAGCAACTTTGCGGGCGATACTAATTTAGGGAGGGTGGCAGGCACACTCAATGGCACAGCGTTACTTCAGTGGGACCTTGAGAAACATGATTATTGGGCCAATAGATGCACGTGGAGTTTAGGAAGAAGTGGATGGCTTCTGTGTGAGAGTGTTATAACCCCATGTTGGTCCATGCTGGGAGACCCACCTGCCATGGTAGAACAAGGGAAAACAGACTTGGGTTTCTGTTTGGGAGTGCATGTTGGACATCAAAATAAGCTTGTTCAGCAAAGGTGGTGCTCAGAGAGCTTGGGGGACCCTCCAGCCTTGGTGCTTTTCAATTCTTTTAAGTAAAGCCATTACCACCCTGGTCCAGTATTGGCAATTGTCCTCTCTGAGCTGGAGGCTGGACTAGAGACCTGCAGCAGCCCCTCTTAACCAGTTCTGTGACTTTTGATGTGATTCTTAAAATGGGAAGCCTTAAACAATATCAACCCCTGTCCTTTTTATGAGGCAGGACTTGACTGAAAACAGCCATTTATAGTTGCTTAGGAAGAAGCCACGTGTTGTTTGAAGTGATGACTGGATTTGCATGCGGTTGCTGGTGGAGTACGGAGGGTGTACTTGTGAAGGCAGGAATCGCCCTCGCGCTGCGCAGTACTGGTGCGGCGTGGTGCAAGCGTTGCCCCTGTACGGCAGAAGTGTGTGGCGTTCGCACTAAAGAAAGACGAAGAGCAAAAGCGACTTTGCAGATGCTCGAAAGCCCTACCTTCTTCTGATAGCTGAGGGCAGGAATCTGTTTAAAGACAACTTCAGACTAAGCAATAACCCTCTCCTTCCCTTACTACCCTCTGGTGTCTTCCCAAAAAGGGTTGGGGGGAGGGAAGGACTTGGCAGCGTCTGGAAATATTCCCAAAGTGAGAGGCCTGTAAGGACATCTCAGTTCTCTCTTCTTGGAGTGTATTTTCCATTCAACAAATTCGTAAATATTCCCTGAAACTTGCATGTGCAGCTTCAGCACAGTTATCCTTGACCTGGATCTGTGCAAGGAGAAAGACCAAAAAAAAAGTCTCTGGACTAGGACTGTGCTGCCAAGTAGAAAAAGAAAAGATGTGTTACTTTTTTTCAGAGTAGTAGATGGCAACACGCTTCCTGTCTTGGGAGCCTAAAAGCAAAAGGTTTATTAAGGAGAAGAAAAACCAGTAAGAAAAGCCCAGTAGCTTGCTGTTACATTTCGTGAATTTTACATCATCGCTTCCCTGAGGTGCATGTGAAAATATTGTTAGAGTAGAGTTGGTGAAAGCAAAATTGAGTTGAAACGCGGCGTGGTAAGCTGAAGGCAGGGAGAGTTAAATGATGCGCGGACAGAAAGCTGTCCTCTGTCCAGGCTGGGAGTGCCTCAGGCGGAAAACAGGACTGTCTGCGTCCAGTGAGCTTAGCAGCGCTCCACGAATAGTAGGTTGGATTTTATTATGATTGATTTTAAGAGAAAAAACCCACCCGAACCCCATAAACCACACCGAGGCTTGAGCAGTGAGACGAGCTGGATGGCTTTGCTGAAGCGGGAGGACAGGCTGCAGCTGGGCTCCGGCGGCACGGCCCCGGCGACGCCAGAGGTGTTCCCCGCAGGGTACTGCGCGCGTCGGACGAGGTGTTTGGACGCTGACCCCCAGCGTAGAGCAGACCAGACTAACCCGGCTACTGGAGGAGAAAAGCATGGGGAAAATGTCGTTGCTAGAGAGCCCTCAAGGCTCCTGAGTGTCTGGTAGTGCTGCTCAGATAATAGCCAAAACCAGTTGAATACATTGGTGCTCTTTCTTGCACCAGTACCACAGCTCTGCACGCAGGTACACGCGTACCCACATCTCCGTGTGCCAGAGGAAATGGTGAGCTAGTCTGGTGCTTTATTAATTCCACACGTTGTAGTAAAAATGAGATCTTTGAAGGAACAGAAGAATTAGTGGGGACTCTTTATCCTATAAGATATCCTAGAGGATAGCCCTCTATGCTCGAAGAGCTCCTATCCATACTCTTAGAGATGATGGTATGTCATCTTCTCTTTTATTGTTGCCATAGTTTGTACTGGTTTTGAAGACTGTAGACGTTAGTTAATGTCACATAATTACCTTTTAGAGTAACTGATGGGGAGCCATCTTACTGACAGGGAGCTAAGGTGGGAAGGTGTGAAGTAGTTTTTGATGGCTACATTTTCTAGGTAGTGACTAGTAAATCTCTGCCCTTGCGAAGGGCACACACAGAATGGAAACGTAATTAAAAAATAGGAGAGTGGGAGTCTGATAATACAGCTCTGGTGCAACTTGGGGAAAAATGAAAAAAACCAAAAATGTATGGTCTGAATTAGGAAATCCTAAGACTACCTGTGTGTCTTGCTGTAAGAGTAGATAAAACAGGTTCCTTGTCTCCTCACTCACGCAGGCACTTGTGATGACTGGTGTCCAGGTACTTGCAGAGGGGCATCCGAAGTCGGTGACCAGCCTCTCTAGGGTCATGTGCCAGATGATGCTTTTCTTTCCCAAATTAAAGTGCACCAGTAGAAGGGCAGCTGGAATCAGCTTTTCAAAGGACATGTGCTGGTCAGAGGAGGCTTGGCTGCATGCTCTGCTGAGGTCTGAGCTGGGCAGGAGCTGAGAGCTGTATGCCACTGCCTCTTGGGTCCTCTCAAGCTCCTACAGCTCCAGGCTCCTGTGGCTGTGTTGGACCTGCTGCATGCCATACAACATCTGCCCAGGCTCTGACTGTGCTGAAGTTCATTGACTGAAGGCAGAGGAGCCTCATCCAGAGGAGCAGAGGTTGAGTGCTGTAGCGGTATGGCAACCACAAGTGCAGGAGGGTTCATGCGCTCCCTGGAATACCCACTAATCCTGTTTAGTTTATCCCTGCCTAGCTGGTGATTTATATGGTCAAACGACTGCATACAAAGCCTCACCCCTCCTCTGGAGCTTATTTACGTATGACAGATTTGCTGTAAACTGTTTTGAGAAAGTTACTCTCAAACTTCATGTGATGTTGGAATTTGCTTCTGTCTGCCTATGAAGCTGGCACGGTAATTATCGTAGTCCAACTGCAAGATGCTGAGAGAGAGAAATTAATTAATTCCAAAAATGACCTACAGTAGCTTTAGGAATACAAAAGGGAGTCCTTTAATCTCAGTGTGTGGTTGAGATGCTTCTTTCTTTTCAAATAAAGTCCTCATTTAGTACTGTCAAGTTTCTGCAGAATAACCATTAGTCCTGTCACTTATTCAGGACTGAGCCTGGCTGGTTTAAAATGCACTAAGCTTTGCTCTGATAGCAAACCAGCTTTTCTACGTGAGGCTGAAGCAATATCCACGAACTCCTCTTTTTATCTTGGCTTTGCAGCATAGCATGTAATGTTCTGTACCGCTTGAGCTCCAGCGTCTAGGCAACGAGAGGTGAGCTGAGGACCTGGTTTGAAACTCAAGTCTTTGTGTTTTTTTTTTTTTTCTTTTAAAACAGACCAACCCCCAATCTAAAACCTCAGATATTATTCGAGTACTTCAAAGCACGTCAAGGAAATGTGAAGTGACATATTTGGAACAAAAGCTTGTGTGTAGTCAGATGATTTCATATGGGGTCCTGAGCACTTGGTCGGATACGGATGGGCTGGAGGAGTATTCGCCTCTCCCCTGCGCCCCAGTGGGTATAATAAACGTGGCTCAGCTTGGTTAAACCTGCAGACAGCATTTTCATGTGGATACTACAGCTTGAGCTCCTTGTGCTTTCCTCTTCGTACTGAAATGTCTCTTGCTGTTCAGGACGGTGTCATGTGTTGGGTTTTCTTTCTGAAAGCATCCTCTACAGAGCTGCATTTCATGCGGTTGCCAATATGGATTCAGGTTGTTGGCGCTCTGCTTGGCGAAGTGTGGGGAGCTGGTCTTCATGGGGCTGGGAGGGCCACAGCGGGTCAGCAGTGGACACAGGCAAAACCTGGTTTTCTTTAAGATGCCTACTTGAAGTGGCAATAAACTGGCTCTTGTGTTTCTGTCTCAGCATTCGGGCAGCATCGTTGAAGTCTTTGCAGTGGAAACCTTGACTCAAATGTTACCAGAAGATTGCTTGCAGCAGTTAACACGCAAAACCCCAAGCTCCGTGTGTCTGGGCGTGCGCTGTTTTGAGGGTTCCTGCGGAGCTGGCTCGGTGGGCGCTGGCTGTGGCCTGGTGTCCCCTCTGGTTCAGGAGGGCTCCAGCTGGTTTTGCTCAGTCTTCCTTGTGCCAGGGTATATTTTACATACAGGTGCATGGTTTGGGAGCAGGTTTAGTTGATTTAAGCCTGTTTTCCCTCTTCTCGCAGGCGTGTCAGGAGTAAAAGCAGATCGCTTTGAGGAAGCAATGACGGCGAAGCACTGCGCATTGTCACTGGTGGGAGAGCCCATCATGTACCCAGAGATCAACCGTTTCGTGCAGCTCCTGCACCAGCACAGCATCTCTAGTTTCCTGGTTACAAATGCACAGTTCCCAGAGGAGATTAGGTAAGAGTTGGACAAAATATCTCCCTACTAAAACATTTGAGTGCTGACCTGTGTTTTAATTCCATTTTATCGCTCATCAGAGTCAGCTCTGCATGAGCACCAACAATGAAAAAGCCCATTTGGCATCTATTTGATTTTAACCTTAATCTCCCTGTGCTCTTTCTCATCTCTCCCCCAGTTTGATTTTCTTTTCTCTATGTCATAAGCAAAGTGTGATTACTTCTGAAAATGAAGAGAATGTAATGTAGTACCTCCCGGAGGTGCGATGGAAGGAGAATGAGTGAGCTGTGTTTGATGCTTGGGGACACGGATAACTGGTGTGAGTGTTTTCTGACAGCTAGAGCAGGAGACCGAACTCATAAATTGCCTTTTTGGTTTGTGTGCTTCTCTTGTAGTCTGATCTTTGTTCTTTACTCCATAAGACCAGCCATAACAAAGATCTGTACAGCCCAGCATCTCCAGCAGGACCCGGAGTGCAGGATAAGAAAAGGTGAAAAGCGCAGACTCATCTGCAGAAGTGGGAGCGGTAGTTTTTAACCTCCCTCTGAGGGACTTGAGCTAAACATTCAAAACATTTTAATGAACTTTGAAGGAGTCTTTACAAATGCAAAGAATCCCTGTTTCTGATGCCCTTGAGCATCCAGGGTGCTTTTAACGAAATCTGAAGCAATGTAGCAAGGAAATGCAGCGTGTGGTGAGCTGCAAGTTGGTTGGGAACTCGTCAGGCTACCATCAGTTAATAACACGACAGGGTCCAACCCTGGAGTGATGTGAGCGTGTTAGCGGAGCTGTACGCAGGACGCGTCGCTCAGCTTGTCATTTCAGCTCGATGCCTCTCCATGTTAGCGCTTTCTGGTGGAGCTTCCTTTTCAGTTCCTTCTCGTGGTCTGAATATGGCAGTGAGAGGGGAGGGCATGCAATTTTTGAGTGAGTAATTATACACTACAACGGCATTCCAAATGATTGAATAATTGTGTAATCAAGTTACTTTAAGTCATGTATTATGTGCCCGATAGACAGAAATTGCTCTTTCCTAAAAATAGCATTTTAAAAAGAGACCACACACTGTATTTTGAAGCTGCATTTCCTAGGATCTGCTGAATGTTTTTAAAAAGAAACAAAAAAAGTGATAAATGCTAGTCTTGCTGTCTTAAAAATTGCAACTGGTCTTTGGCTCATGAAAGCAAACGATTTGCTTAATATGGGAACTGAAGTATGCACCAAGCTCACTCCTCTGTTGTCAGCACAGGGGACCTGTAGTCTAAAAGTTAGTCCTAAAATAGCCAGCGTGACCTCTGGCATCCAGCATGCAAATGGGGAGCGTGGCCTGGGGTGTTCGCTGGGCTTAGGAGAGGGGCCCGCCGGCTCTGCAGACCCCCTGGCTGGGTCTCCAGCATGCTGCTGCCTGTGCCTTCTTCTCTCCTCCCCTCCTCCTCCTCCTCTTGCATTTGATCCGCAGCCTCCAGGGACACACGTGTTTTCATGAAGTGAAGGAGATTTTATAGCACGTGAGCTCATTGTGAACAGTTACCTGGCTCTTGTCCTCTTCCTCCTCTTGCTTCTGATTAGTCGCCGTGAACAAGAACCCTTGTGTACGTGTTTGCGTTTATGAGCATCAATAATAATAACAATGAGCAGATGCTTATTATTGCTCATAAGCGAATGCATGTTTTTATTATATTGCTGTTTCTGTTCTTTGTATCATTGAGTCGCCTGTGTCCTGTCTGGCTTGTGAAACCACCTCATGGCCGGTGGTCTAAAGTCAATTTATTGCTCTCGAGTTGTGCTTTGCTGTTTGGTCATGATTTCTACTGAAGTTCATATGTGGTAAATGCCAAATGTAAATTTGATCTCCTGGATGTGATCTCAGCTGTTTGAGCTAGCTTGGAAATTGCAACCGAAAATTAAGGGGGAATGTTTGACAATCCATCCTAGTACCGTGCAACTAAATGTCCTGTTAATTACGAAACGTAGCTGTGTTCCAGGAACATCAGTTTGTGCTCTGCGTCTCCCTGGTGCTGGCTGGACCCACAGCTGCCCTTTCTCCTGGTTCCCCTTTGGCAGAGCATGCACGAGGTCGTCCTGGCCCCCGTCCCAGCCATGGCAGGAACCTGTGGGCTGCTCTGTTTTGGAGCAGCGTGGGGCAGAAATCCCTCCCTGGCATCACTTCTAATTCCTTAATTTTCTCCAGTATAACAGTGAGTCTGGCTCTTGCCTGTCCCTAGGATTGAGATCATTGCAGAAGAGATGATTTTTCTCAGCTCGTGTTTTGAAAAACCCTTGCTCCATCTTCAGCGAGGCCCCTTTTAATTAGGCAAATGCAGCATTAAGTAAAGAGAAGAGTATTTTGGCTATGTGTTTTTTTGCAATGGAATACTTCAATCCACTTACACCTAGAACATTTGGTCACTTTTGGAGATTGTGGCTTTGGGCTGCCAGTCCAGATAAGCTTGTTTGCAAAACAGGGTTTCTTAAGCTAAAATGCTAAATTTCCTCTGGGCTATTTCATTCTTCTCTCTTAAATACATACAGAAAGAATACGTTTAGATAGGTTGTTTGAGTGTGCATGGTAAGTGGATTTTTCTGGACACTAAAAGCTCTGCTCAGTCTAATTCTGGACAGTTCTTGTCACTTTGTCACCTTTGGGGAGGGCAGGGTTTTGGTGTATTTTTAGGTGGCACTGTTTGGCAGCTGAACAATAGTTTCTAATTTCTTCTCAACTTCTATAAAGACCCAAATCAAGCCTGCTCATTAACAGACTTCACAAAATACGCTTGCAAAATGTTGTCCTAAATTGTTAAGAGCTGAAGAGTTACGTAGTGCAATTAGGATTCTGTCACTTCATCTTGGAGACACCGGGGTGGAGGTGCCATGAGGGGTGGGTGTGTGTTACACTCTCTGCCTTTGTCGGTTTTGTCTGTGACAAGGGAGATGGTTTTAGGTTGTTCCTCTTAATGCCCTTCGTTATCCCTTTGCTAATGGACTGCAGCGTTGCTGCTTCTCCTTTATACCCTTGGGGTTTGTGGAAGGGATTAAGGCTCAACCCAGGCTCTTCACACAGCAGTTGAGGTTTAATCTTTTTAGAAGTTACCAGTATTGGGCTCACAGATGCTGTGCTCACCGGCATTATGTGACCAGAGAGACTATACTGCAGGATTTATAGGAAATAAGAGCCTTGGGAGTGGAAGGAGAACACGTTGGGGGTTGTGCTTGGTTTTATTTTCTAAACAGCTTTGATTTTCCATCAAAAAATTATTTAACTGATGATGCCAGGTAAGTTCAATGTGTCCAGCAGTAGAAACTGGCTGAATTATGGCTGTAGTTCTATTGAATGGGATTATTTTTCCATAGACCAGGGCCAATAGAACTTGGGGAAGGGGCTGAGCTTCATGGTTTTTAACCATAGGGGCCTTTCAGCGCCTCACGTGAGCCCCTGGCAGCCTGCTTGGGAAGCCTTTCTGAACGTGTTACAGCCACACTGGAGCGAAATACGTTCCAGTTCAGTGAGGAAAAGATAATTAAAATGTCAGCCAAGGCCTCTATATGTGATGTTCTTAGCTTTGGGCTATATTATTTATTGAAAGTAGGTCGTAACATTTTGCTATTAAGATGATGGTCACTTGGCAGAGATGAACCACTGGACTTCGATAGTTTTCCCTGTAAACACTGTATAGTTCCTGTTGCTACTGGACCAGCAGAGCAGCTTGTTCAGAGATGCTGTATTTTATGTGTGCTTTGGTAGGAAAACACAAATTCAGCTAGCAGTAATGTCTGAAAACAACAATCCCTTTCTTTTTATTTCCAAGGAACCTTGGGCCAGTAACACAGCTGTATGTCAGCGTGGATGCCAGCACCAGAGAGAGCCTGAAGAGAATTGATCGACCTCTCTTCAAGGACTTCTGGCAGAGGTTTCTAGAGAGTTTAAAGGCCTTGTCTGAAAAGGTACCCAGTGAAGAATGTATTTTTAAATATTTTGTTTCTTCCTTTTGCACCTTAACTACTCAGGACAAAAGTAGAAGACTTGGGAGGCTTAAGATGGATCGTGGATGGGTTCTGGATGTGTGGGAAGCATATTTACATGTTTTGTACATTACAGTGTATAAAGTCCAGCAAGTTTAATCAATTTTCCATGTGGGGAGAAATTTATTGACAAAAGCAGAGCAGAATGTGTGTCAAATAGGACAGTAAATTCTGCTGTGAATACAAGATGCTATGAGAGATTAAGAGATTATAAAATAATAAAAGATTTCCTAATGAAGCATTTACACTGAAAAGCAGGCTGCTGAAGGAAAATGGGAAATTCAGGGAAGCCTAGGAAGAGTTATAAAACCCCGTGTGGCACTTAGCATTGGATCTCAAAGGTTCCCTTGAAATAGCAGTAAAGGACATTAAAACATGTGTGCTGGAGTTTACTAGCTCTAGTTGACCTCCTGCTATATAGAAGTAAACATATCTCCTTGTTTCTGGAAGATTTAGCCAAAACAGTGGATTTGAGCATAATCCTTTACACTGATGGTTTGTAGTAGCTTGTGTCTGTCTGAGACAGCTGAACAGTGACCTGAAGGCCCATGGGATTGTGCCTGCTGCTGTCAGCACAGAACTTGATCTACTGTGTAAGAGTTTTTGTAGTGATTACTGAAGCACTCGTGACCCCAGCATCACATGAGTTAAATGGGTGTTGGTGGGTCTTGGTCTCTTCTCCCAGGTAACCAGCGATAGAACGAGAGGAAATGGCCTCAAGTTGTGCCAGGGGAGGTTTAGACTGGATATCAGGAGAAATTTCTTTACTGAGAGCGTGGTCAAACATTGGAACAGGCTGGGCCGGGGGGGGGGGGGGGGGACACCCCCCGGGCACCATCACTGGAAGTATTCAAAAAACATGTGGACGTGGCACTTCAGGACATGGTTTAGCGGACATGGTGGTGTTGGGTTGACGGTTGGACTTGATGATATTAAAGGTCTTTTCCAACCTTAATGTTTCTGTGATTCCGTGAAAAATAGTGCTTCGTGAGTGTGTCTTCCCTCTCTTATTTACTTATTTAAACATTATTTACTGTGCTCTGGAAGCAAGTACTTCTGTTCAGTGATTTGGCAGAAGTTGACACGTTACCTGCTGAGATGAACAGACAAGAGAGAGTTTCACTTGAACAATGAGTTTTTCTGCCTCCTTCTGAGATGACAATGTTGGACCATTTTCTGCCAAATGTACTTACATTAGTAGATCTGGGAGACTCAGTGTAATTGAGTGATGCTTTATTCTGCAAAGTCATGCGAGTAGCTTGATCAAGCTGTTTGTGTGCAATGTGCCAGCTGATCTTGTTAAACAAAATCTCAGGCCAAACTCTGAGCTTACTGAAGTCAGGTACAAACTTACTGAGTTCTCTGTGTGAGTAGAGGAAGCTGTGGAAAGAAGGGGAGCTAAAATATTGAATGCAAAAATGTCTTATGAGCTTGCTTTTGCCCATCATTTCTTTCCTTCCACCTCTTGACCCTGGATAGATGTCGTTCAGTCATTGCTGTGTGCTGTCAGAAATTTTCTTGCAAAGAATTGAGGGTGAAAGTGTTGGCAAGTCTGTCCATACAGCTAAAAATACTCTGGTCAAGGTGAAGAGGAGAGGAAAAAGAAGCACAACTAGCAGGTGCCTTTTCTCCTCAAAGCAACCGCACTTTGAAGGGCCCTTGAAACACTGATAACACAAGAGCCAATTAATAGTTGCTGCAGTTGGTAATACACTGTTCTGCCAGCGCCTGCTCAGCTGCGTATTGCATCATCACACGTGGAGGACAGCAAGAAGTCTCAGGGAAGCTGCTGTTTGTTAGGTTTTTTTGCTTAATGCTATACATGGTTACGGTACCCAAAAACCATCTCGAACTGCTTCTGGGCAAAAGTACCTTTCTGTTTTCCTTCTGAGCGTGTTGCTCAGTGTTCACGTGTGATGCTGTAGGACCGTGATGAATGAAAGGTGGTGAAAGCTTAATGCATCTGCTGATTCTTGAGAAATACAGCTCCTGTTTCAGAATAGGTGGGAAGGCACTGATGCATTGTGTTAGGAAAGTGATGCTAATATGTCTGGAAACAAAATACAAGTCCCGTATTTTCACACTGCCTGACAAACCATCCGGGCGTATTCAGTTCTCCTGACGCTGAGGCAAGCTGGCAATCGCAGCTGGTATGAGTCACTGCTAATAAGAATCATGGATAGGTTTGATCTATGCACGTTTAAAAAGCAAAAATGGGCGAAGGGAGTTTTTAAAAATATGAGTCGTACCTTGTGCTTGCCGCTGTGGTGTTTGGCGAGCGCTGTTCCTGCACGGTTACCCTGCTCGCTTGGGTGTCCGCGGGCTGTCCCCAGGGCGCTCTGCTCGGTGCCGCAGGGATGGGTGGTTAGAGGCAGGTCCTGCAGCAGAATGTTGATGATCCAAACAGACCTGAGCAGGAGAAAGAAAGAGCAGAGGACATGGTCCTAGGTGAGAAAGGAGTGAGGATATCCCTCTTGGCTGAACTTTCCTAGCACCAAAAAGCAGGCTGATTCTTGTTAAAAATAGAAATGGAAGGTCCTGGGCAAAGAGGTGGACTTCAGATCTGTTGCCTTAGCGCGGTAGTTCTACTGATAATGGATTTCGTTATTTTAACTGAAGTTCTGCACCAAGTTCTTGAGCCCTTAATAAAGGAGTGAATTTAATAATGAATTGTTCCCAGTATGAATGATGACATCATACAGCATGGTGGTGATTAGTTGCTACAGTATTTTCAAAGGAAGTTCAGGAATAGAAGATAAAAATCTGTTGTGATATTTCTTTCTGCAGCCAACAGCAAGAAACCCCCTCTTTGTCCACTACTATTTGGAGTAAGTTTTATCCTTTCTAGAGTCCTTTCTCATTGAGATGATTGTCGTGTTAAATTCTCTATGCTGAGGAACGTTTTTTGAGAGAGGAGTTTGTTAAACAGCAGGTACACTCCCAGAAGGATCCATTTGTTTCTTGTCATGTGTCTTCTGCCCTCCAAATTAAATTGAGAGGAAAAAGAAAGATGTTAACATGTGCGACAGAATGTGTCCCTTCCAGACATCACGTTTGAGAAGTCTTGTAGCCTCGTCCTCTGACAGCCTTGAGTTCCTAAGAACGATTGAGAGGTGACTTGACTTGATAGACAGGCACTCCGAGGAGGCACTAAGGATGTGAATCCTTATTCTCATTGTGAGGATGAAAAGTCTGTTCCAGTGGTTGAAAGGCATTTCTTCCAGCCATTTCTGCTTCATAGTTCTATATCCAAATGAGAAATGAGGTACAAATTAATAATGAGGGTCCAGAAGCTCAGGAGGGAAGAGGTAAATTTTCCATCCCTTTAAGTTTTATGATAAAAATTGATGCTTTTTTCAAAGATACCACTTACCAAACATGTGCTATCTGAGGAAGAAATAAGGAACCAATGTTCTGTGAGCTCTCATCCAGCGGCAATCAGACTTGTGATCCATTTGTGTTTTGACTTTGTGCTTGTTTTCCTCAGTGATACTAGACCAGATTCTGTAGGTTGAGAAACTTTGAAAACTGTTGTTCTCGTTGTTGTTGTCCATAAGTCACCAAGTGTTTTCCCAAGCAATAGGGATGTTGACTGAGGCAAATGGGAATCCCCCACTGAGTTGCTGATAAATGAAGTGGGCATGTGGTGACCTAGTATGGCAAAAGTGCGTACATATTTCTACCCAAGCACTTTGAAAATAACTGGAGAAAAGATGATGGTGGACATACAAGCAGAACGTGCCCCGTTTGTGGTTCAACATTACACCGCAACATCTCTGAGCATGCTTTTTTCCACCTGTTGAGAGACTAAGACCACTCTTGAACCAAGCGGCTGCTGGTCCATGGGCTTGATAAGCACTGGGAGAGAGGTCCCTGGCGTGGCTCATGTGCTCTGAAGAGTACTCTTCCAACCTTGACGTGGCGTCACCTCTTCTGTCTGTATCTTCTTGACTTAATCATGATAAATCCTGTCCAATCTGCTCGATACACTGTACCTTATAGTACTTGCTGTGCTGCCAGACACCAAGTAGGCATTGCAGAACTGCTTTAACTTTCAGAGGACAAGTGCCAATGTTCTCTTAAACAGATTGGAGCCACGCACAAAGCAAACGGGGAAAAAACCCTTTAGGTTAATAGATGACATGGCACTGCAGAAACTGATGAAGCAGAACTTTATCCTTCCTGTCCTTCTAGGAGGGTCAGAAAAAGCACAAGAAACAGTTTACTGGCACTTTATGGAGTTTAGACCTGTGTCGTTAGACATCATACACAACCCTTGCTTTAGACCTCAGGTAAAACCTTGCCCTCAATCTTTTTCCATTTCATAGAGAAACAGGGTCATGGCTCTGTGGGTGACATGTAGCAAATGTTGTTGGGTTTTTTTTCCCCTTTTATTAAAAAACGACCATAAAGGGGAATTCTTAGCTCTACTTGTCCTAGGATATCACATATTTGACAGTGCATGGATTTGGCACCTGTGGCTATGGACTGCATGTTAGAGATGGTTTGTCCAGAGAAAGGTATGAAATATAAAAACGTCTCCCATTCCTGTCTTCCAGGTCTGCATTTGCATGCTGCTTACAGGTAGTTCCTTGTACGTTTCTGGGTGATGAAGACACCAGCTTGCATATTTAAATGTTTTCGGGCTTGCATCTGGTGCTGTTTACTTTAGTCTTTTTTTTTTTTCTTTCCCCATAGTGATCCTTTCTTCAAAGTTGCCCTTGGCTTCTGTGATTACAAACGTGGTGTAAATACATTGAATTATGTCTTAAGCACGTTTTAGTGCTTATTACATATTATATGACAGTAATAATTGCTTTTATGAAAAGAGCACATTTGATTTGCATGGAGATTATTTATGTGGTTACTAGGGGAGGGGAGCCGGTTTGTAGAGCCTAGTCTGATGTTTCTGAGCTAAGAGA